GAATAAATATCAACTAATCGTTAATTATTCCTGAATTGGCCACAAATACCCTTTCATGATTAGTCAAGAAGATGCCTTTCTATTAATTTATCTACCTGAAGCCGGGACAATTTACCGCTTGTACTTTTTTGATCATATTGTTTGGCGTTCTCACGATTTCAAATACCCGCGTTCGTTGTTTTTTTTTTTTTCAGGAAGTCTCAAAGATAAGCTTTTTTTGGTCGTTAAGATATAGCCTGCACCATGCTGATGAGAGCCAACAGCCCGAAATGCGTACGTGGTTAGCTTTTCTTGATTAATAAAGAAAGTGTATTTGGCCAATTCTGGAATAATTGAAAAAATCAACGATTAGTTGATGTTTATTCCGACAGATGGCGCAAACCATCAGCAACTTTTAGTTGCACGATCAGAATATTCCCTTTTTCGTAATTTATCCACCTGATCCCAGTACACTTCTGCACTATTTAAAAATATATATCTAATTGATTTCGTGACTACAGATCTCTTCGCTATGTATTGGCAATAAAGAGTTATGTTGGGGATTCAATCACTTAACGAAATAGTTAAAACACGTTAAAAAAAATGAAAGGATGTGGGAAAACAATAAAATTGACCTTTAGTCTGCGAGATAGAAACTTTGATAGGCTATCAGGGGGAATCTCCTGGAAGTAGTATCTACTGTACTGCTAGACAACTCCGCGGAACTTTGTAGACACACGGGTAGATCAATCTTTCCTTCCCCAAGTCTCTCTACATCCCTTCAAATCCTGTAGATACTTTCACGAGAGACCGTTCACAAAAATTGGGATACTCCTCGTCTTTTCTGGAGGTAGTATCTACTGTACTGCTAGACAACTCCGCGGAACTTTGTAGACACACGGGTAGCTCACTCTTTCCTTCACCGAGTCTATCTACGTCCCTTAAAATCCTGTAGATACTTCTACGAGACCGTTCACAAACATTGGGATACTCCTCGTCTCTCCTGAGGTGGTCTCTCATTATAGAGGTTGGATTAGAACCACAATAAGTCTTTTATAAATTTTACGAAGGTGGTCGCTCAACAGAGGGGTCGTTCACAAGAGGTTTTCCTGTACTGTAAAGCTGCCCTTTTCTCCTGGGACCGTCGTAGGGACGAAGGCGTTTTATCCAGGTACTGTAAAGGCGGCAGTTACGAGAACGACAAAAACAAAAGTTTTAAAGAGAGATTATACAACTTGGGTTCCCCTGGAGCGCAGAACGTCATCTACCCCGAGTTTTCAATTATTCGGGGTCTCTTTAAGAAGTAAAATATATTTAATGGTGCATCTCCTAATGCACAATGATTATCATCAAATTACATTTTTTAAAATATAGAACCATTTTAAGAATAGACTAGTGATATAAGGGCTTGCTCATATTTATGACAATTTATAAAGAATTTGTAACTTAGTTGCCAATTTTAGCGGTCGTTTATGTCGGAATTAAGGTATAGCAAGTGCAAAGGTGCCTCCAATATGCAAATACGTGGTGTACATACAGTAAAAGAAGTCGCCAACTTCTAACCAACATAATCATCATGGCCCGTGCCATATGTACTTGGGAGAAATCACCAGCTTGAAGTAACAAGCGTGCTAATGAGCTACAAATATTTGCATGAAATGAAAGCATTAAATCATGAATGTCTCTCTTACACACATAAAACGAACTTCTACTATCCTTACTGCGATGATAAAATGTTGGGAGGGCATGACTCATCAGTGGCGAATCCTCCCAGCGGTTTCGCCAATTTAATCTACCAGACCGCTTCATAGAGCTCTAATATCGTATTGGACAATTCTGCCTATATTTGCGACAATGAAGGGTGGAATCTCAGAAATGGTATTCAAGTAAACTATGGACATTATAGGACAGTAGAAGTTTGTTTTATGTGTGAAAAAGACATTCCTGCTTTAATGCTTTCATTTCCTATATATTGATGTTATTGCTTTTATATAAATATTTGTATGGGTCTAATTGTCTTAATTAGGTTTTAAGTGTTTTCCTTTTTTCAGACTCCGTGGTGAATCCATGTAAACAAGACTGTCTTATAAAAGGCTTTTGTGTATGTGCGTGATTAAGAGGAAAAGTCCTACTTCATAATGATAGATACTCGGTGCCGCAAAGTGATCCTTTTTTTTTTCTGAATTCTCCCTAGTTCATGTCGCAACGCAGGCCATGATAATCATGGTGGGTAGTATAGTTAGCGACATTTTTTTACTGTAGGTGTGCCACATGTCTACATATGTAGAAATTGTTGGACTTTTGCATGAATCCGGGGTCTATGAAAGTGGGCTTTTGCATGAATCCGGGGTCTATGAAAGGCACAATTTTTTTTTTTCTTTAGAAAAAAGTACTCAATGCGTAGATCGTTCTCGAGTCGTGATTATCGAAAAACCGGACACATGCTCAGGCGAGCGGTCAGAAAATTCCAATTTTGTTTTTAATATATATATATGTCATAATATATACTCTTCGAGGAATAATAAAGCAAGCCTACCGACAACCCAGAGAGAGACGGTCCGGTCACTTAAGATACCAGCGACATTCCAAGGGGCGACCCCTGGGGTCCGTCAGTTAATACCTCGGGACTTTTAAGACAGTTGGGGAATTGTGTGCGAGACGAACGGCCGCCCGGCTGTGCCCGGCCCATCTCTCCCTCTCTCTCTGGTTGTCTGGGTTTCTCTTCCAACTTGTGGTGTGATTATTTCTCTTCCCACCTTATTATACCACATATATATATATTATATATATCACTCCTCCAACATAAAAATGATAGAGTGAGTGAATAAATAGGTTTTTTTAAAAAAGGGCTGTTGCGAAGTGAGCGATGATAGTGTTTGGGTGTGAAGTCATTCTGATATGGCGAGGGCCTTGGAGAGATTATAGGATGACTTGCGTAAGGCTTTCATCATGACGACAGTTTTCTTCTCACGGCTGCTGCTATAGGTGGTATAGGGGATGTCAAGACAGAATAAACCCCCACTTGTATGTAGAATTGAACGCTGTGTCGGTGGTGAGGGATTGGCCTACATGGAGTTTCTAAAGTGAAATCTGAGTTCGACCTAAACGATCGTTGTTTGCAGAACTCTTTCCCAGAATGTGAGGTCATATGGAGTGTATTTTTAAAGAAATAAAGGTTCCTTTTTGTTTAGGATTGAAATAGGGGATAGGTGGAAGAGTGGTATAGACAGTAGATTTTCGATAGCTACAACCCGGCATTGGGCCACCTTTTTTTTTTTCTGGAGACAAAAATGCTTCAATGGTCTCCCCAATTCTTGCAAAAGTCCATCCCCACTATTGAATGCAAGTAACAAAAGGGGACTCTGGGATACTTGTAAAAGTGCAAAAGTCGAACTGAATGTTTTTTTCCTACATATGTAGACATGTGGTGCACTTACAGTAATAGCAGTTGCTAACCACCCACTATGATCATCATGGCTTGTACCACGTGTACTTGTACGTGTACTTTATTATTTATATCGGGATTCAGATAATAATTATGAAAGATATTTGATACACAGTTCATGGGGGACGCGATTTTTCCCCCCGTATTCTCTTCAAAGGTTCCATCACGATCTTCTTGACATTTTTTTTTTTGACAAATTCTTCGTCATTTCCGTCTCTAGCCTTCTGTTCAATAAACGAAAATGCTTTTTTCCCTCCCGAGTAGGCGTCTCCTTGCCACTGTCAACATCGTCGAACTACTTCTTGATACGATATAAACAGAGGGTTTAGGCAACTTCAGGATTAAAATTCTTTGGGGATTTTTGCCCGATAGCAGAAAAACGATGGCGGCTGCTTGATCCTCGTATTTACGATTTGTACCCATCAATACAACACCGACCACATTGTTTTACTGCATACATTGATACGAGAATAGGATAGATAGAAGTAAGCTATTGACATAAAGGTTTTATACCGGATAGTTGGCGACTTTTATACGCTCCAGAAGTGTCGTACATTTAGTTTAAGGGTTTTATTTATTTTATGATATACACTCATAGACAAATCTTTTAGCATATCGGGATTCAGACAATAACTCTGAAAGATATTGCGGTGACCTTTATTGAAGACACACGAGATAACCAAGTGTAAACAAAATTTGGGTCTGTCTCTTAAAAAATATATGTATATATATATACACAACGATGACATCAAATACTTTCCACTTTAGTTTTGCCTATAAATCCATCGGATTTGTAGTGGTACTTATTCCAAGTACGCCATGATAATCCTGGTAGATAGTTAGCGACTCCTTTTACAATAAGTGCATGCCCTGCCTTAACACGTAGAAAGCAGTTAAACTCTTTTACACTTACAAAGTTGTCATAGCCCCGTTTTTAGTTCCACCGAAACCTTTTTTTTTTAATTTCAGGGGAAAAAAAGTGCCCATTTCGGGATTCGAACACAGGTCGTGGCTGTCGAAAACCGATGGGTTATACCATTCCTCCACACCGACCACTGTTAAACAATAGCCAGAAGGAAGATGGCTTCCTGAGATATTTCAAAGTTTGACCGAAGGTTAGAGAATTGTGGAATAGAGGAATGTTCTCTCCTGAAAGGATCCAGGTGACACAATCCGTGGAGGTTGGACAACCCTTGCTATCATCAATCTACTTCGTCATCTCACTCTTATCTCAAATTAATCCGATCTATTCCTGGGGTTATCTTGTCCCACTTTCCCAAATTCCTCACATCGCCAATCTCTTCAATTTTGTCTTTCTTATCTAATCTTTATCACGTCTATATTTTATATCGTCCGTGGTGTGTTTGCCCTCAATACCCCGGTGTAGCTAACTCGGTACAGAGAAAATATAGTTTTTACGGGCTACTACTAACCAAAGTGTATGCTTTTCGAGCCTAAAAGGTAATTGGCCTACAGCTACACCCGGTGTTCCACGCTGATAAGGGCCAACAATCCGAAACGCATCCGTGGTTAGCTTTTCTTGATTAATCAATAATGGATATTTGGCCAATTCTGGAATAATACACCCGGTGTTCCCAGGTGGTCACCCTCCCAAGTACTAACCAGACCTGATATTGCTTAACTTCGGTGATTGACCGATGTTTTCAATGTGTTACGGTCGTAGGAAACACTCTGTATAGACAAATGTTTTTAGCTGGTTGGTTGGTGGACTTGACAAGTCTCTTCTATGTCAGAAAGGTATCATGGTATTAGGAGTACAATTAAGTTTTGAGGGATTTTTTTTTTATAAATTCGAAGCTTTATTCAGAGAAATCAGTACAATATATTTAATTCAAAGTATTCTCCATCTTTAGCTACGACTTTTTCCCATCTTTCAGGCAGCATACGGATTCCGTTTCGAAAAAATTCCTCGTCTTTTGAGGCGATCCAAACATTGACCCAATTTTTCGCCTCTTCGTAAGAAGTGAAGTGCTGCTCGGCCAGGCCATGTGTCATCGAACGGAACATGTGGTAGTCTGAAGGAGCAATGTCTGGTGAATACAGCGGGTGGGGTAGGACATCCCATTGAAGCGCCTCCAAAGTCTCCTTGACAACTTTTGCAACATGTGGCCGAGCGTTGTCTTGCTGATAGATCACCTTGTCATGTCTTTTGGCATATAGTGGGCTTTTAATCTTCAATGCTCGGCTTAATCGCAACTATTGTTGTTGGTAACGTTCTCCAGTGATGGTTTCGTTAGGCTGAAGTAGCTCATAGTAGATCACTCCGAGCTGATCCCACCAGATGCACAGCATTAGCTTCTTGCCATGAATATTCTGTTTGGCCGTTGAAGTTGATGCATGACTGGGCTTAACCCACGATTTTCTGCGCTTTGGGTTGTCGTAGTGAATCCACTTTTCGTCCCCCGTCACGATTCGATGCAAAAAACCCTTCCGATTTTGTCTTTTGAGCAGTAGTTCGCATGTGCAAATACGGTGCTCGATGTTTCCTGGCTTGAGTTCATATGGAACCCAATTTCCTTGTTTTTGCACCATACCCATGACCTTGAGACGGTTCGAAATCGCTTGTTGAGTCACTCCCAAGGTTTCAGCGAGCTCCTCTTGAGTTTGGCTTGAATCTTCGTCCAATAAAGCCTCCAACTCATCGTCTTCGAACTTTATTGGCCTCCCTCCGCGTTCTTTGTCTCTGGTGTCAAAATCGCCACTTTTGAAACGCCGAAACCAGTACTCACATGATTTTATTGATAGAGCATGTTTACCATATGCCTCACACAGCAATCGATGTCCATCAGTTGCACTTTTCTTCAAATTAAAACAAAAAAGCAGCGCTTCCCGCAAATTGTGTTTTGTTGGCAAAAAGGTTGACATGGTTAGAGCACCAAAAAAAAAAAAAGTTCCTTACACTTGAGTGAAAAGACTTCTGATTTTTTTGGGGAAATGATGAAGCCTTAACATGAAACCTTATAAGGTCCGATGCTATTTATATAATATTTGTTGTGGCTGCTATTGCAAATCCCTCAAAACTTATTTGTACTCCCAATACATAGCAACATGGATATACCTAACTGGCCTTGTCCTTATTGTTTGCGGAAGAGCATTGCTCCATACAAATATTTATATGTAATTATACTGTCCCAACCTATGTTCATAGTTTGCTTGGATACTATTTCTGATATTCCACCCTTCAGTTTAGCATATATAAGCAAGCAGAATCGTCCAATACAGTATAAGGTTGTCCCAAAAGTTCGTGTTTTTCTTAAAAGCTGGCGAATAATATTAAGGCGAATACACAATACAATTACCTTATACATAATACAAAGACATTATACATAACGGCGATAATATTGGTATTTCATTTTTTTTTACAAGTGTTTACGAAATTTTGGGAAAACCTTGTATTAGAACTCTAAAGAAGCGGCCTGGTAGATTAAATTGACGAAACCGCTGGGAGGGTTCACCATTGATGAGCCAAGTCCTCTCAATATTTTTACATAGCAGTAAGGACAGTAGAAAAGTTTGAGTGATGTGTAAAAGAAAGATTCGCGTCGTAATGTTTTCATTTGCTATCTATAGATAGCGCGTTATAGATTCGTATTAATTCTATTTCTATGGTTTTCCAATGGTAGGCAGTTGTAGATGCCAATAATTACATGTTAATCCTTGTTAAGTCTTACATCCATATGGCTTGAATGACACTCACGTAGGTTCAAGTTCCATAATAACTTTATTAGAGAGAGAGATAAAAACACAGGTGGATAGAAGTTGGTGACTGCTTTTACTGTGAGTACACCACATGTCTACACATGTGAAAAGCAGTTCGACTTTGCACTTACAAATGTGCCAGAGCCCCGTTTGGTTACTTGCACTCGCTGGTGGGGTTAGACTTTTGCAAGATTCGGGGACCATTGGAGCATTTTTTTTTAATCAGAAAAAAAAGTGTCCAATGCGGGAATCGAATCCGAGTCGTAGCGGTCGAAAACCAACGGTTTAGACCATCCTTCCACCGACCCCCCTCCAGGGGAATGATTGAATCTTAGTTCTACTTATATACATACACCATTTTCTGAAATACAGCGTTGTGTAGAGCTGCATATAAGATACGCTGTATTTCAGAAAATCGTGAACATATATAAGTAGAACTATGATTCAAAGTAATCATTCCCTTGAAGAGAATGACAGGAAGTAATTGAAACGTCGGGAGTTAAACTATAGGTTGATGTGGCTGTGTTTTTCTCTGAATCAACTTCCAATCAACAAAGGATCTTCAGAAATAAATTAGGGGGTCGGTGGAAGGCTGGTTAAACCGTTTGGTTTTCGACCACTACGACCCGGGTTCGATTCCCGCATTGGACACTTTTTTTTTTATGTTTAAAAAAAAAAAAGCTCCAATGGCCCCCGATTCTTGCAAAAGTCCAACCCCACCAGCGAGTGCAAGTAACCAAACGGGGCTCTGGCACATTTGTAAGTGCAAAGTCGAACTGCTTTTCACATGTGTAGACATGTGGTGCGCTTACAGTAAAAGCAATCGCTAACTACCCACCATGATTATCATGGCTTTGAGATAAGAAAGAAGAAGAAGAAATAACTTTATAAGGTACCGCACAAAAAGAACAACCTATCTTATGGTATTTACAATGGATAATATATACAGATTCTTCTTCACATTGTACTTCGTTATTTTAACTATACTCCAACCTTGGGGAAAAGAGCTATTACCGAATTGTAAGTCGGATATATGGGGGTCGATGGAAGAGTGGTCTAAACCGTTGGTTTTCGATCGCTACAACCCGGGATCGAATCCCTCTCTAAATGGCCCCCGATTCTCGCAAAAGTCCAATCCCACCAGCAAGTGCAAGTAACCAAACGGGGTTCGATCACGTTTGTAAGTGCAAAAGTCGAAATGCTTTTCAAATGTGTAGACATGTAGTGCATTTTACAGTAAAAGCAGTTACTAACTACTACCCACCAAGATCATCACGGCCTGTACCACGTGTACTAGGGATAATAATAACAAGAAAAAGTTGGATATAATTTCCTGGAGCAGTATATTATCAAAAGAACAAAATGGTGAGACGAAGAGTTTCTTCTAAGGTTTTCTTTTTATTTAACTGAGCTTTCGAGCACATGTTTGCCTTTCTACTGGTGTAAAGTAGTAATATCATTTTATTCGCGATCGAACGTTGTACTGTACGTATTACATCCCAAACACGACACCAGCCATCTCTGTCTTGAGCTCCATGTACCATCTCGGTGACCGTTAAACCAGTGGGTTCCTTTAATTGGTCCATGAAGCGTGTCGGTGGACGTCCAGGTATGTGTCGCACAGACATATTTCCGGTCAGTATGGTGTACTCCATTCCCCTGTGTCGCGTGATGTGACCGAAGAATCTCAAACAATTCCGTTGTACAGAAGTCGGTCATCTTCCGAAATCAATAGTTGTGATAGTATTGATGTACTACTCGCTGTCCAAGGTATACTTCGCCAACAATACATCACGAACGCATCGATTTTTTTTTCTCTATCGATGATAGTGTAAAGTACAAGCTCAATTTTACTCCTGTAGAAGGGCAGAAATACTCGATTCGCCTCATGATTTTGTCCTTTAGATAAATTAACCTAATTGTTTCTACTCACCCCCATACAGCTTTATTAAGACCGCCGGTCTTATACAGTTTCACCACAGGAAGGAAGCATAGATGGAGTTCCTATACTCCAGGCAGCACAGAACCCAACAATATTTGATACACACATACAGTTTTATTAAGACCACCAGTCTTATACAGTTTCACCACAGGAAGGAAGCATAGATGGAGTTCCTATACTCCAGGCAGCACAGAACCCAACAATATTTGATACACACATACAGCTTTATTAAGACCACCGGTCTTATACAGATTCACAACAGGAAGGAAGCATAGATAGAGCTCCTATACTCCAGGCAGCACAGAACCCAACAATATTTGATACACATATACAGCTTTATTAAAACCACCAATCTTATACAGATTCACCACAGGAAGGAAGCATAGATAGAGCTCCTATACTCCAGGCAGTACAGAATCCAACAATATTTGATACACACATACAGCTTTATTAAGACCACCGGTCTTATACAGATTCACCACAGAAATGAAGCATAGATAGAGCTTCTATACTCCAGGCAGCACAGAACCCAACAATATTTGATACACACATACAGCTTTATTAAAACCACCAATCTTATACAGATTCACCACAGGAAGGAAGCATAGATAGAGCTCCTATACTCCAGGCAGTACAGAATCCAACAATATTGATACACACATACAGCTTTATTAAGACCACCGGTCTTATACAGATTCACCACAGAAATGAAGCATAGATAGAGCTTCTATACTCCAGGCAGCACAGAACCCAACAATATTTGATACACACATACAGCTTTATTAAGACCACCGGTCTTATACAGATTCACAACAGGAAGGAAGCATAGATAGAGCTCCTATACTCCAGGCACCACAGAACCCAACAATATTTGATACACACATACAGCTTTATTAAGACCACCGGTCTTATACAGATTCACAACAGGAAGGAAGCATAGATAGAGCTCCTATACTCCAGGCAGCACAGAACCCAACAACAGTCTCCAGGTCCGACACATGTCCAGTGACCACACCGTAC